ACCCTTTGTCGCGCTATTGTACGTTGCCTATCGTCAAGCTCGTGGTCTGAAATATTTGCGTCCATCGGGGTTGCTCTGCAATTGGCGGAAATGCATCGTCACGCTTTGCCTTGGATAGTTTTCGATGTCTTTTACGTAAAGTTATAATTAAAGAATGCGCATTTATTTCTTCAATATTCGCTATCGTGTAAAGAATTGTTAGAAATATTTATATAAAACTTTTGGGAAAGAAAGGGAAAAAGGGAGATAGATTTGTATTGTTTAGAGGCAATATACTGTTCTGCATTATTGTAAAATTTAGACAGTTACTTGATAATTACATGATTAGCATTATTCCATAACGAGCACAATCTAATAACAGGCTCTAATAGTCGTTACAAGATACCCGACTTCCATGCGATATTTTATGTATTCTATTTTCAATTATCCAGGCGTTCCCTTTCGGGATTCAATCAGCCTTCGTGATGCGGAGTCACGAAGAGGTCGCGATCGTAATTTTGGTCGAGACAAGATCGTGAGAATCCCTTAGGTTGGATCTAATCCGAGCGGGAGGAAGATTAATGGAGGTGACGTTACTTGTAGTTCGCGTTTGCCCGTTTGTTCCTTCGAAGACTAAATGTCGACCTCAAGATAGAAACAAGAATAAGGCGGAAGAGAATCTTGAGAACATTGATGGAATCTTTATTGCTTATATTAATCTGAGAGCTGAGAGAGTCGAGCTCCTCAAACATATATTGATCCAAGTAATCATACCTCTTTTTATCATAAACGCATAAGAGCAAAAGGGTAGATTCCTCTTAGGAATCAAAATACGAATTTTTAATTAAAAAAAAAACAGTTAAATTGTTTTTTGCACAGCACAGTTTCTTGAGCCATATAAAATAATTTTTTTTATAAAATGTATCTAATTGTGTCTTAAGAGAAAGGCTGAATATATACTTCTTACACTTGCAATCACGTGCTAAACAAAAGTTATGTAATTATATAATTATTATTAAATATTATTTATGCTTTTCGACATCTTATAAAAAATAGAAAAATATTTTTAAAATTTATATTATTAATATTATAAATTTATATTATTAATATTCTTTAAACATAAACTCAATGATACACTATAACTATAAAACGTTACAATAACTCTAAATAATAAAAACGTGAAAAAAAAACAAATAGATGACTACCACGATTTATTCAATAAAATACAGGCTAAAACACTTGGATTTATTTTGTTTTTGGAAATAATCTTCCATTTTGGCATTGATACATTTTATTATATTAATATCAAATATTTTACTATATCTTTTACAATAAAAAAATTGGATAAATCATTGAAAGAGATGTAAAGTAATGCCGTGAAATAGCGTCAAAACTTTTGAAGAGCTCTCCTGTAAAAGTGCTCTCGTGTTTTTTAACCTGTGTGTATCTTTTTCATAGAAAGTACCACAAACGGATCCAAAAAAAATTGTTTAAATTCTGCAAAAATAAAAAGACTATTTGCGATCGGTTTTAAAGAACCATAATTTAATTAAAAATTAAGCAATCAAAGTTATAAAACTGACTTGAAACCTTAATTAAAATTCAGAAAAAGCTTATTTAGAAAAAAAACAACAATCAAAATGTATTATATGAAAAAAGGGATAAAAAAATGATTCAAATATGTTGGCCCAGTGATAAAAAAAAAGAAACATTAAAATAGATAGTTTCACAATATAATATCGCAACTACGTCTTCCTCCTTAAAACAAAGACATTTATGAAAAAATGTTGATAATTCAATTTTGTTGAAAATCAAATCAAATAATAATTTAACTGTTAAAAGAGGTATCTTATAACTACGAATTATATTGATTATCAAAAAATTTTACTATCACAATAAGTACATTTTATGAGAGACATTCCGTAGATCGTCAAGCGCGTAGTGAAGTATTTTCGTTGTCGGTGAAATATCGACGTTGAGTTTTACAATGACGTACTTACCTGCGGGACGTATGAGCGAACTTGTCACACGCCGTTTCACGCGAAACTTCATTTTATTCCCCGAAAAATGTTCCCCGCGTCACGAGCAGATAGGGCCGTCCTGTTTGATTACGTGGTTTACGTTCCGAATGTAATTAAGGTAACGAGTATCGTGCGGGATAGCGCGAGGCGGCAGCGTGTTTCGTCGTCTCTCTGCCGGTTTTTGCTCACGCTCGAATGTGTCGTCTCCTTAACACGGTAAAGGTCTCCGCGGGAAGACAAGGAGTGCTGGAAGGAGAAAGAGAGAGAGAAAGACGATGAGCACAGGAGGGAAAGAGAATCGAAGTTCCCGACAGCACTCTGTGGGACCCTCGGGGCCGCGCTTAATTGGATCGAATCGAGTCGAGGCAACGACGAGGAAGAGTCACCGCCTGCACGCTCGTTTCGCGTCTTAAATTTCAATTATTTCGAGCTCCGATCAGAGACCCCCTTGGGTCAAAACGTCGGTCTATTTGTCGTTGATAAAACAACGCGGACGTTACCCGCGACTGGACCCAGATTAATTGGAAAAACTTGAGCGTTTGAACTTAAGCTGGCAAAAATTACCGGGCGACGCTCGATCTCTTGAAAGAGCATACTCTTGGAAAGCAACTTTCGTTTGGTCTAATTCTGTCTGGCTATCTTTCGACGCGAGCGACGAAATTTCAAAACAAATAAAACTAATTGGAAAAATATGTTTTCGAGAAGCTAAAAAGTTAATGCAAGTAGAAAAACATTAAAGATGTAATAATAAGATGCATTTCATTGTTTGATATCCCACTACTATTTTTTAATGCCGAATATTTTGCCTTTACGTATAAAAACAAATGAAAAAGTGTTATATTGTTTGAAATTTAGACTCGACAGCGCAGTTATAAATTAGATAGAAATTGTTTAGGCTTAGAAAAATTCTCTGCAAAAGTATAGTTTCTCTGCGAGAAAAAGTATTGAACTTGCATCAATATTTGAGAGATTCATCAAAAATACACGATTTATAGTAGAAAAAAGGAGAAAGCTGTAACCAAAGCGCAAGATAAACGAAATAATTAACATATTACGTATTGTCAGTCATAATCTACATTATTACATGACATGTAATTACATGTGAAATGGGATTTGGGGGTCGTTCGTAATTTTGTAAATATTTCACATTGTTCTCGAATGGATTATATAGAAGAGATATGTATTCGTGCATAATTACGGCTCGTAAAGTGCTTTATAACTAATCGCATATCGTTGATGATTTGTCGCAGCAAACGTTTTCATAAAAAAAACAGCATTAACTAACGATTTATATAATATATATCTGTATGAATGTTGTAAGTGTTCTTGTAAAAATTTTATGAACGCGATAGAAGAACGAAAAAAGGAGAGAAATGTTCGAGATCATCCTTCAGATTAATTTTGAGCCCGTAGCGGATGTTATTATTTTTTGATTGGCCGTGATTAATCGGGAACAACCATCTAGGCGACTGTGTATCATCGTGTCTTACCGTTTCTTATCACGAAAAAGAGGGTTTACGAGCGCTTTACGGCGAGTTTTTTTAAGCCGTACGCATAAAACACCTCTAAATGGAGGGTAACAAAGCTCTCACTTTACGCTCGTGGTAAAATGAGATTGATACAGTGTTCTCCCGCGCGTTGTTCAAGGCACAAAGAACCTATGAGACATTATTTATCCGTAATATTAACACATCTATTACTTCAGGTTAACGTGAAAAAAGACACTTGTCGATAAGGGGGCGCAGCGGCGACTCGTAATATTTTACGTTGATAAAATACAAATATATACCAAAATTATAGCAGCGTTCAAAATAATAACTTATTTATTTGTTGTTTTTTTATTTACTGATTGTCCCAGAAAAATAATTTTCACGTTCATTAAATTTTTTAATTTGTTTTTCAAGGAGGGATTCAATAAAAAAGTTGTCTTGAAAAGTCTTCTCTCTCTTTTTTCCATTGCTCGCATATACAAATTATTCAAATAAAAAATCTAGCTAAACGGGCATAAATAATTAATTCCGCAAGTAGTAAATAAATAATGAATATGCTTACTCCATTTTTTTTGCGGTTGCTCTGCCGTCGCCTGCGAAGCTTCTCAGGCTTCCCCTTTCTTCTCTCTTCTTCATGTCTTGGTTTCGTTATGTTGCGTTTCGTGATACTATAGCATATTACTCGCGCAAATGCGTTAATTAATTAATGAACAAAATCAATTTCAACAAAGTTAATTAATGTACAATCGTGCAGCACATAGCACTACACTTACGAGATTGATCCTACGTGACGTGCATTTCGTTACATTACATTACGTTACATCGAAAAATAACGCAAGCGGAAGCGCGTTATTTTGTGAAACTCGGATCCGTTCGATACTCGCAACATCAGTCGCAAAGTCTTGCGAATTAGTGCAAACGGCCAAAGAGAATTCGACGATCATGCAGCTAATTTCACGCGTCACCCGCTGCGATGACGTTGCATCTATTATTTTTATTATTTTTTGAGAAACTTCATCACGTACTTTCAGCACTTTGAAGAATATTGTAGACACGTTCGCGTTTGGGGAGATTGTTAGATAACGATAATCTCAACAATATACAAATAAGTATGTACACGAATTAAATATAATAAATATTCATGAAATATGTAAATTCAAAAACATGACATAAATCTTTCACTTTACCGATTAACCGAATACCGTTGATTTCAATCAAATAAATTTCGCAAAATACGCGTTTTAACCTTTGACTATACAATAAATATGGACTGCTAGTTCCCCCACTTTTACTACACAAAAAGAACAATTTTGTCGAAAGGTTTAAAAATTTTGCTGAAAGCAGATCTGAAAATAATATTTTGTTGAATCATCAAAATAATTTGTTGTAATATTAAAACTGATAAGCATTGCTATAAAATGTTTGATATTCTAGCAATCATTTT